CACCTATGCATACTTGTTTCACCACATATCTACATCTGAATAGCTCTCTTCCACTCCCATTATTCAAGATGGTGGGCATGGGGTAATACTGCTTCATCCTCCCAACAACTCTGTGAAGTAGACAGAGAGGTAGAGACTTGTACAAGGCAGTAAGTTTAATTAAAAACACCTCCTATATGGAGTGATCCTTTGGGAAATTTATCCCAGATTTACCACCAGATGTGGAGGCTTTTGCTCCCCCCACTGCCAACAGCTGTACAAGGGATCCTTACCCTTCACTTGCATTTCTCACCACCACCATCTACGACCTGTGGGGAAAACAATCCTATTTCTTTGCTTTCTTATAGAAATACTTACATTTTATTTTCTGGCCACTCTAACTCAGAGTTTCATAACTTGACCCTTTTGTACTGCCACCAGTTATTTTAGAATACTTTAAAAATCCTACTAGCTCAATATAAAAGACTTGGGCATGAGACAGGCACCAAACCCAGAGGCGGTATGAATTATTAAAAAGGTTGCTTATTGGAGAAAGATTTTATTCACCAGAGAACAGAGTGTTACATGAAGTATAGAACTGGAATGTTTAAACATGGATTAATTAAATATCGTTGGTAACTGTACCTAATTAGAAGCTTTTTCTGGCTAACAAGTTCCTGATAGTTTTTCCCACCCAGATTCAATGTGCCTAATCTCTTATCTTAGGCCAGTCTCAGCCAGTCTCTCGGAACCAGAAATGGGCAGTCTTCCTCTGTCTTCAGCCACTCCCGAGGCCTCTGGCTCTTTGTATGCGGATCCAGTATCAGGGCTGGCTTGCTGAAGTCTCTTCTGGTCAGACTACTGCCTAACCCCCTTGGCTCTGCTGCTTGCCTGAAACAGCAGCAGCTTCTCCTCTGCACAGCCACCCACTCTAGATTCCAGGTCTCCCTGCAGAAAAATTCCCTCAGGCTGGTGTTCTCTTTCCCCAGATCTGAGCACAGTTCCCTTTAAAGAACTGCTTTCAAAGCCTCTATCATCCACTCTTGCAAGTGTCTATGTAATTTTTCTTGGTAATGTTATAGCCACACAGAAGTCACATGAAGCTTTTAAATTTAACAAAATATAAACAATCTTATACACAGCACATCTTAAACACACTCCAAATAAACCATGGAAACTGCACATACCTTAAAGCTATTTGCTAAATTAATATGCAGTAATACTAGTAATAAATACTTATGCTGATTTAAAAATAGTAATTTACATATTGTCCCTGTTAAATAGAACATGAAACATTCCTTAGCCCTATTCAGGCATGTCCTGGTCTCCATGTAGGGCTAAACTGGAAAGGGAGATGTGGGCCTTCTTAGGGTTTGTGATGACGGGAGCTTGCATGCAGATGAATGTGTTTACAGACTTTGTGTTCTTCAGACCTTTGTGTTCAACCTGTGAAGGTCTAACCAAATGCTTTGGTGGGGAGACTAGGGCCAGGGCTCTTGTATGGACCTACATTCCCCTGTCTAATTTAGCCCTCCACATGAACAGGGTTTCTGTAAACCTGAGCCTATGGGTGGCAGTGGGAGGGTGTAGGAACCCTGCTGTTTCAAAGTGCAATTGACATGTGTACTTTTCATATGAAGCTGTTAAGTCCGCTTTGCCAATGCATGTCATTTTTTTTTCAAATACCTTTTTTCTAGCCAGTGCTGGATTTGGGGGATGGAGAGGCTTCTTTGCTCAGACAAACTCATGCCAAAATTCCCATAGCTCCTTCTTAAATCACTTTTGAAATAACTCACAGCTGCATGCCTTAAGTGAATCTCAGTGCCCTTTAGCCGCAGCTTACCATGTGAAACTGGTCTGTACAAACACAGCGGTAAGGGCTTCGTAAGGGCTGCTTGTTCTAACTCTGCTGAGGCAAGTCTAAGGAGCACAGGCTTCAATTTTGCTAAGGAAGTTTATCTTCCTCAATTGTATATGACAAACAGGCTGCTGGTGATAACACAGGGCTCTTCTTTAGATAACTAAATCTAAACCACAATAGTATAAATAACAGTGTAATCATTTTGAAAACAGTTTTAGAAGACCAGTGTGTTGCTGTTCTTTAAAAAAAAAACCATGCTTGCATATCTGGAGTCAACCCATTGTGTGTAGCAGGAAAACTTTTCGCCCAAGCTTGGATCACTGAAGTTGGGCAAACTACAAATTCCTATCACTTTACCTTATTGCCTGCTTCTCTCCTCTCTCCACATCTCAAGTGTTAAGGTGATAACCCTAGAAAAAAATGGCAACAGTTGCAGAGACCAAAAACAGACATCTTTAATTCTCAACATGCTTTGAGCCTAAACTAGTAATCTTGCTTATCACCTAATCTGTTAACTATTTAAATGTTTAAAGAGCAGACATGTCAAATGCATCCAAGAATTCAGTGTTAAACCCATCATCTAAGTTGGCCCTTAGGCTCCTTGCCAGGTAATGGGAGTGTAACTGCTTGTACAGACTGCAGAGCTAGTAGCTAACCAAGAAGTTGCTAGGTTGTTCTAAGGATGATCAAGCACTTCAAACATTCTGAAGTGTTATATAAATCCCATTATTTGACACATGATAATTCTTGTGCCACATGTTTAAGATATCTCTACAGTGAGTTCCTTGATCACAAAGCAGGTATTGATTAGTGCTAATTTGATCAAAGGTGAGATTTTTTAGTTCCTGCCTCTGTTGCTCATACACAGATCTGCCATACCATTACCCACTAATTAATGGACAGTCAAGATAAAGTTATGTGTTTTTCCAATCAGTTCCCTTGGTGGGTTATAAATCAAAGAAATATGTACATAATATACATAATTAATTCAAGCTCCTGTTAAGCACTTCATGGAACTTCTAAAATACTGTGATTTCTGTGGAATACATCCTTTTGGTGAATTTTATGCAATGTGCCATTTCCCTCCCTAGCTTTGTCTAAGAGCAACAAGCCGATTCACACCATTATCCTGAATCCTCATGTCCACCTTGTGGGTGATGATGCTGCCTGCATTGCATATATACGGCTCACTCAGTACATGGACGGAAGTGGGATGCCAAAGACTATGCAGTCAGAAGAAACACGAGTTTGGCACCGTCGTGATGGAAAGTGGCAAAATGTCCACTTTCACCGTTCAGGATCACCAACAGTACCTGTCAAGTGAGTAAAAAAATGACCATGCTTGGGTTCTTGCCAGCCCATCCAATTCTTAATTTTCTTTACTGCCTACGTCTAATTCTTCATTCCATGATTTCTTCATGTCTGTCCCTTGTAGCTGCTCTGTTTTGCTCACTACCAGTCCCCTTTATCCATTCCAGTAGAAATTGCATTGATAGTACCAGAATGGGGATCTAAATAGGGATCTTTCTATTCCAAGTCTCACATTCTTTCATCATAATTATCTGTTTGCTTGTACATTGCTTGTCTACAAGATTGTGCCCCAAATGTTAAACAAGGGAACAGTTAGAAGTGAGCATGCTATTTGTAGTTGTTTCATTGCACTGGTGGTAGCTTATGCTAGTGCCAACATCAATTACATTGTGCAAGCATAAGTTACCTCGAGTGCAATGCCAATAGTATTTGCAGTAGAGGTAGTTTACACTACAACAATGTAAATTATGTTAATACTAGTGCCAAATAGGACACTGTCCCTTAGTGTCAATGAAGATAACCATAAGATATATCAATACAGTTTTGCTTCAAGTAAGTCATTTACTAGAGCAAGTAATGAGGATTTGTAACATAATACATGCGACCAAGCAAAAAAATAAAATAAATTACTGCTCTGCACATTTCATCATTTTTTACAGATGTGTCAAATCAGCTTTTGAAAACATGAGAACTTGAATTTGAAGATATGAATATACACAAATTCAAGAGCAGAACTGAACCCACTGGGCTGTTTTAAATTAAAAAAAAACATTTCTAATATTAATTAATTTGACTGGGGAAGTTAGCCACAAATTCTCCCTTTATTGAGTCAACAGACTGAATCAAAATCTGTAGCACCCATCTGTTCCACAGTGTCTGTCTACTTAAATGAGTGATTAACTGTCTAGCCTTCAGACCAAACCTTCACACAATTAGTGCCAAAGCATACCAGGAACAGGGAAGCAGCTTTGGTGCTTCAGTATCCAAAGAAGAAAATTGGAGATATGCAGTGATTTCAGCTCTGGATGAGTTTTAAATCTGTTCTTGGGGTTCAGTATAGAACCTTAGAGATTCTGTCCTGTGTGTTTGGCAAGCACAGATTGTCTGTATGCAAGCCAGGAAACTATAGGCAGGATTGCTAAGTAAACTGTAACTGTATTCAGAGTATGTATGCATTAATGGCTGGAAATCAGAGTTACATCAAGTGAAATCTGATGAATACTGGAAACACACAGTGTTCATTTGCCATTCTCCATCTGCACTGCCAAATAGGTGCATTTGGAGCAAGTTCAAAATTGAGAGTGACTAACAGGAGTATTGCTGGCATGGACTTCCATTGCACAGCCATGGTCCTTCAAGAGGTACAGAAATATTCCTTAGCTCTTTCCATCATATAAAACCAAAGCAAGAGTCATGGTTTTAATATAACAGAACTCTCAAATACCTTCTGAGCTGAACAAATCTACTGCAGGAGAGGACACCTATGTATTTGAAAACCCTCTCTTCTGGATTCTTCTTTCTGCCTAAGCATTAAATGCATATGGAAATACAAGGCTGAATTTGGCCAGACTTCTTCGGATACAGGTCTTACTCTCTACTGTGAATCTAAAGTAAGGAGTAAAGTAAAGTTTACTAAAGTAAGGAGAAGCAGTCTTACAACCTATTCCAACTTGTTCTTGGGTCTACTCTGAGTCTAGTTTTTGTTGAGTCTGATTACATATAAAAATGGAAGACCAAATGAACTAGTTTAGATGTAGTATACCCGATGTACTAAAGCATAGCTTTAAAAGCTGGGTACGAGCATTGGGCTCATCTGCTCCTTTGTCACTGCTCATTTGCGACATTACATTGTCGGAAAAAGTTGCTTTACTAACCAGGAATGTGGTTTAAGATTCTGATTGGTAAACTGTAACAGAAAATTAAAGTTACCACAAAGGATGCAACAAAACTGTTGTGTGAAGGGAGGAAGCAAAGAGGTGGAAGAACATACAAACCTAACATCCATTCCTGACTTACAAACTATGGTTTATTTTATTTATTTATTTATTTATTTATTTATTTATTTATTAAAACATTTCTATGCCGCCCCATTTGCCGAAGCCTCGGGGCGGCTCACAACATAAAGTTAAAATACAAAAAATAACAATATAAAGAAGTAACAATATAAAATAAGTAACAATATAAAATAAGTCACCCTGGCCAGATAAAATAAGCACATACTATTAACAATTAAAATGACGCTTAAATAAAAAGGTCTTCGCCTGGCGCCGAAAAACAAATAGCGATGGCGCCAGGCGGACCTCTCTGGGGAGCGCATTCCATAGATTGGGCGCCACCGCAGAGAAAGCCCTCCTCCGAGTACCCACCCTCCTAATTTCTTTCATGGAGGGTTCCCGGAGAAGGGCCTCTCCCGCAGATCTCAAGGGGCGGGCGGGCATATATGGATGTAAGCGCTCCTTCAGGTTCTACTGGGCTCAATCATTTTTTGCCTATTTGGGCACTGTGCTTGAAATTAATATGCAGAGGGGGAAGGGGGCGTGACATCACAGCTGGAGGATGGGTTTGTTAGGACCTTGCCATTGGTTTCTGCGATGATGGAGTGTGACTATAAACAGTCACTGTGCCAAACATACAAACGCACATGAACAGGTGTCAACATGCTTTCCCACATCACTGGTTTGTCTGAATGCATCCTATGCTATGTTTCAACAAGTCCCTGTTCTGCATATACCGTACATATACTACATATCTGACTGCTAAAAAACACTCATGTACAACTTGTATCAATTTTGAGTGAAAATTAAGTGAATATTGTAACTTGAATATCAAAAAGTTGCAGTTACTGTTTGATTTGTTTGATTATTTCTAAACAGTTTAAGAAAATGTATTTGGAAATACTTAGCAATTATCTACAACTGATGTTGATTTCTCTCCCCCCGTCCTTTTTTCTTTTTGTGTTTCTAGCTAATTGTCAGTGATGCCATGTCGTGTCCTCCGCACTCTGCACTTGGTTGGCTACCATCTTGGCCATCCTTTTGCGCTCTTCATGCATGTTCTTTGAATGCATGAAGCTGTGAAGTTTCTACATGTGATACATTTATGATACATCATTTTGTTGTATATTCCATTGGTACCTTTTGTTTACACTTCAGTGAAAGGGGTGTTCCATGCAAACAGAATATGGAAGTACAGGATAAGAGGATGGAAAATTGATACGTCTGACTAAACGCAGAATATACTTCTCATGCCAAATTATGAATAACTTCTGCAACTGCAACATATAGAAATAGCAGTTTAAAATAACTTTATTTTAATTTTCATAATTTTCTTTCTAGCTCATTTGCTTTTAAGTATGAAATATTGCTTTGGTCATAGTAGAAATAATGAAATTTCCAGGAACAGCAGCTTTGTAATGAGTAGAAATATTGATGTAGACCAAAGCATTTCTGTAGCCCTGGGGTCACAAAGAGTCATCTTTGCTATGTAATGAGTCACTGTGTATAAACTGGAAAAGAATGATACAGTTTGTCAAGTTGACCTCAGTAAAATTATCTATCACTGTTCTTGTCTGGTTAGCGAGCCTTTTTAAAAAAATCATTTCTTTAGCTTTGTTCTAACTATACAGGGGAAAAAAGATATTTTGAAGTAGTCTTTCTAGTTTGTCATGAGCCAAGCAATGAAAAGATAAGACAGTTATAGGTGGTTAAAGGATAAAATATTTTTTTTATCATTTTAAGGATGTACAGTACATTTATTAAAGCAAGTCATAGAGGTTTTTTTAACTGATGCTATAGTTACGATGTGTGGTAATTTAGGACAATTAGGCCTTAAAAACTTAGTAACAGAAATTTACTTGTCTACATTTTCTTTGTAGGAATTTATTACCTAAAAAAACCTACCAGGAAAGGGTGTTTTCTAATAATACTATCATGCTGTTACCATAATAATTTTATCCATGTTCTCATGGCTTATCAAGAGCCTTGAAAGAAGTGGAATAAAGCAATTATTGCATCTTCATTAATTCCTGTTGCTACACATCCACCTGCAAAACAAGCAGGAATATGTTCAGCATCAGTTTAGAACAGATAGTTCAGCTGATGCTCAATTGTTTGTGTTGTATAGATAAGAAATCATATCCTGCAAGCACATTGTCCTTCTCCTTTAAAAATAAGGAAAATTAATTTGCTTTTTAATTTTTTTATTATTATTCTCTTTCATTAACAGTGAGACTATCAGTTTTCTGTAACACTGTATAGCGCATGATATTTGATCAATGTTCTTTTTAGTAAACAAAATTTACAACTTGCAGCATCATGAAATTTTTAAAGCAGAGAAAGGGAAAAATGTCCCACTTTGTATAACTTTCACTTGTCTGTACTGATTACTAATCAAAAGTGGATCTTATTCTTTCTACATTGATGTTGTTCCTAGTAAACATATGATAAAGAAATTTAAGTTTCTTTGGTGATTAATATATACATTCAACCCACAGCAATATATATATAGCAAGCATCTACAGTAAATATCTTGAGGCATATTAACCTGCCATTGGGTTCTGTAAAAAAGGCAATGACAGCATGCATTTTTTTTTAAATAATGTCTTCTGCAAAGCGGCTTTAGGTGGTATAAGTGTATTTACATTTAACAAGGTTAGATGCAGGATTTTTCTTTCATTTCTGTCTTTTTTACACCTATTACCATCGCATGTAGTGTTGCCATATTATTCTAGGTCAAGTCTGTCTTCCACTCTGAGATGTGAGAAATATTGTGAGTTAGTTCTCTGCACTCCACCTGAATTATACACCTAATCTGTTGTCATTTCAAAACACTGCAGTTTACCATGGGACACAGTATGTGTGTGTATATATATATATTTCTTGCCATAATGGTAAAGAACTGACGGATATATTTAAAAATTAATAAATTTGTGATTTCTGCTGATACTTGGCATTTGGTGTTTTAATTTGAGAATGTGGTGTGATTTTTAACCTAACAACACTCACCATCACTTCTGTAACTGTTCATAATTTACTAGCAAAATTCTCATTTATTACAAGAGGTTGCATGGATATGGGGAGCGGCTTGTATCTCAGGCTGAAAACTTTGTCAGTGTGGGCTAAGCACTGTTATCCCCAGATTCAGTACTTTACTTTGTTCCAACGAAACAAATGGCGACCATTCACTACCATGTGAACCACACTGGGTTGAGAAAGATCTGATGCCTGTCATTGACAACTCCAACTGTTAAGAAAGAAGCATGTCACTATAAGTACAGCCCAATTCTAGGTTCTGTCTCTTGGTAGCAGTCATTCATAAAGAGAGTCCACATTACATCAGCTGCTGTAGTCATGGGTTGTTCTTGTTAGATTACCCATTAAAGACAACTATCATGTTTGTCTATACCAGCCTTCCCCAGACTGGTGCTCTCCAGATGCATTGGACTGCAACTCCCATTATTTCCAGCCAATATAGCAGAATTCATTCTCTCCATCTTCCAAGTACTGGCATTTATAAGGCTCAGCTTTTTAAAGTTACCTGTTTTCCAGCAGAGTTGTATGGCAAAGAAGAGAATACAATTATTCACTGGATTTACATGTGTTCAGCAAAACTGATCCCATGGAATTCCTGAAATGTACTCTATGAAATTAGTACTTTTAATTTGGAGAAGAGAATCAATACCCTATATGGTATTGGGTTTTTTTTTTTCATTTGAGATAGCCAAAAAAAGAGCAGCATTGATATCAGCTAACTAAAATTTTCAGTATGTTGCCATCTAGTGGACACTTACTTGCTACTCCAGGGGTTCTTTTGGAAATGTTCATTAGATTAGTTCATACAGTGTTGTTTGCATTTTTAACCCACCATACAAGCTAATGAGATATTGCCTACATAAGTATATTACATACTATAAACTATATAACATTAATTCAAAAAATAAACAACTTTATCTCATATTCCCACAAAGTATCATTCAGAACTAGCAAGTATGTTAGCAGCCAAGTTAAATAAACCAGTATATCCAGAGTAGGAAAAATGCAACAGCATTTGCATTTTAGGGCATAATCCAGGTGAATTGCTGCCCACTCGACAGATGCTTGTGAGTGACCTGCCAGGCTGCTGCTTGAGAGGGCAGGAGAAGCAACAGAAGCAATGCTTGTCTTTCCAGCCTCCTTTCCATTTTAGAATCATGCTACCAGGGGCAGGGTTTTGAGAGGCAACAGAATTACAACCTGTACAGGTCTCATCCCTTTCTTGCCCAGAGACCACCCCCTTATTTCCCTCCCCAAAATTGCTCAAGGTTCTCAGGAAGGAGCCACCATGGAAAGAACTATAGCAGCTGCACGGATGCAGGGGAGGGATTAGAATTCAAATTCTCCCCAAGTCGTAGAAATGCCTACAACTCTGGGAGGAAGACTCTGACAAGGCCCATAGTTCCTGGGACTCTCTTTCAGAGGCCATAGGATCATTTTTATTAAAAGGTCTAGCTTAACATGTGAAAAGAAGAGGTATCATCTTCCTTCAAAAGATCTCACTGGACAAGAGCTTTGGCCACATGTATTTGTTGCTTAATTGGTTCATCAAACTCAGTTGAAGTTTTCAGTCTTTAGCACTTCTGCTTAGGTTGGCAGGGACAGAAGGAAGGACCCTATGTCAATAGCAGAATTCAGGGATGGTATACAAAACTCTCACAGTTCAATCCCTGGCATCTCCAGACATGGCTGGAAAAAAACGGCTGCCAGTCAGTCTTGAGAGTACTGAGCTTGATGAGCCAGTTGTCTGACCCAGTATAAGGTAAGTGTTCTATCTTCCTGAGTGTAGGAAAGTGATTAAAAGTGTATTAGAGAAATTGAAGTCTTTTGCTGAATTTGCTTAATATCATCCCTCTTCGTTCACTCAAGAAAATGTGCTGATTTTATTGCTCACAGATAGTTTCCAAGGGAACAGTGGAATTTTCCCAGGAAAGACCCTCTCCAGAAACATTCATCTTGGCCTTGAACTCTCATCTTGGTTGGATTCAATACACATAATTTGCTTTTTGGATGTTGCTCCCTGGCACCTGAACTGGGAATGATCAAGTCTCTTTCCTACAAGAAAACATATTAAAGTGAATAGGCATCAAGTTAAGATTATTTATCACAACCTCTCTGTTTTTATTGTCAAGATTCAAGAGCAATGACGGCATTATTTATTTAGTTTCTGTGCTCAGCACCCATACATGCATATAGCTGAATCCATGGCAATACATTTGTTTTCTCTTTCCTGGCAGCAACTCTGCCTTCTGTCTCTGGATTTTCATGGGAGTCAAGAAAGGAAGTAAAATATTTCTTCTTTTGGACAACTAGGGAGAATCTCTGCAAATGATCCAAAAGAGAACATAAGTAACTGAGTTGTAGCTGTACGTAGTGAGTGGCATTCAAAGTACATTTAAAACAGTCTTACTGGACTGGGCCAAATCTAGTCCAGTGAGTCAGTTGGAAGTTTACTAGTGATGCATGAAAATAGCAAGCCTCTTGGATCTGGTATCCAGCTGACTCTATAAAATCTGACCACATAGCTCAGGGTGGGGCACATGTGGTCCTCCAGATGTGTTGGACTGCAACCTGCATCAGCCCTAACCAGCATAGCCAATAGAGAGTAGTGAGTTGCATTCCAGCCAGTTCTGGAGGTCCAGAAGTTCCCCATTCCTGATTAGCTCTTGTTTTCATGAAGTGAATTGAATCCAGCCCTTCTCAATACTGTTTGCTTCTCTGATGAATGAAAAAGGGCCCCAGTTCTACCTTTTGATTCCACCTGCTCCAAACTGGTAATCCATGCTACCCACACTAGCAGATATGAATATGCAAAAACAAAGTAATGCTCATTTGGCATTGTGTACACATTTTCTTTTGAACTAGGGTCACTGACTCACTCTACACCCACATATAAAAGGGCAGATAAAGATGCCAGATAGTATGACTTAATTGCTTCAGTAGAATATACAACATGCATGGGTGTTGTATCTATTCCAGAATCGATTAAGTGCTCATATGTGTTCATGATGACACAAACAGTTTTCCTTTGCTACAGGATTTTTTTCGTTTAAGTCAGGATCAGGAAATTTGATCTGTTTACTGCATAAAATGTGACTTGTTCAGCAACTGGTGGACTATGGTTCACACAAGAGCTGCAGAGCTACTATTTTCTGTATAATATTTTGCTGTTTAATATAGTAAAATCCCTAGTTAGTTCACGTTAAAATGCAACTTAGTGAAATAGAAGCAAAGTAAAATAGGATAACATTAATCATTAAAATATTGAACACACAAGAAAACCCATGTGTTTTGTGACCACAGGTGCCCCAAAGCTGGCTCAAGGGTGGCTCTTCATGTGTGTACTCCATACCACTCCAGAATGACCATGTAAAATGAGCTGATGACAGAGAACATACATGCCAGGGTGATTCACTGACACTGTTATTTCCATTTGACTAGAATAATATGGGAAATAACCACAGTGAATGGCTGCTGCTCTTTAGATAATGGCCCCTGTTAGGATGTGATATATCTAAATTTAATCAGCATATAAAATGTTTCCTGCCTTATCTTCCATCTTTGTATTTGAAAACTGTATTACTTCAGAGCATCTGTAGGGTGTTAAATATTTCACCACTATAAGGAGGGGAGTCTTAAAAATCTATTTGCTTGATGTAATTTGTGGCTCTACTAAATGTGGCTCTACTAAATGTGCTATTTTGTGCCCTACTCTGACATACAGACAGTAAAACAAGCCTGCTGTGGAAATTAAGAGCAGGCTCAAGACTTGTAGAAAGTAGCACAATGCGACAGAAGAAGCCATAAATCTGCTGGAAGTAGCCCCTTGGCACTAATGGCTCATTTGTTTAGACTTATATTCTGACGGCAGCTGCCTTTGTTGAGAGGAGGGCAAGAAAAAGTCTGCCAAAGGCTATCATTACAGCAAGGCCATAATGAGAACCAGTGGTCTGCCGTGGAGGATCCACTCAAGAGTTACAATAGGTTTGGAAAAAGCAAAGCACTTGGAAAGGCGATGCACATTGTCCCAGTCTACTGCCTGCCCAAGGGATGCATTTGCAGCCTTGATAAAGGGATATTGTTCACAGAAAGAGATGGGATAGATTCAGTTCACTGAAAGTAGTGCATTTGACTTTACAGCATCTGCAGCTAGGGATTGTGAGGCTGTGCGTATGTTTGCATGACATGAAAAAAAGTTTCTACCATGTTGTCGAAACCCCACTGTGGTGTTCCCTCATGGTACACTTGGTATTTAGAAATCACATACAGAAACAACATGGTGTTTTATGGTTTCTCAGTACCACGATAGCTTGCTGAGTTATTTGAACCAAGAAAACACCATCATCATGGTACCAAGGCCAGAACCAGACAGCCACTTGACAATGGCCTGTTGCTACTCTTGTCAAGCAACGAACCTGAGAGCACCATTGACAGATGCTATTTTGCCCAGCTGTCAGAAGCACTCCCACTCTGCCCAAAGTTCTGTGGGGCAGAAGTGGTCAAACAGCTGGATGGTGCAGAGAAAGGTGCAATGCCACTCAGCCGATTCCTCTACCACCACCACCCCCCGAGGGAAGCCCTTCATGCGCATGAGTGGGGAGGGTGAGAATCAGCTGGGTGGTGGTATCCAGTTGTGGATGTTCCAGCTCAGCAGATTCCCCTGCTTCCCCCAGTTTTGGTCCTGCTTCCAAGCAAGATGTCCCCAACCTGGTGCCGCTAGGGGCACCTCTCTGACAAGTGTGTGTACATGCACGCGCGCGCGCGTGTGTGTGTGTGTGTGTGTGTAGAGGGGGAAGTAAATGCCACTTTTTATTCATCACTACTGCTTACCAGAAAGCTACACCGGGGGGGGGGACCAATTTGGGGATGCCTTTCTCACAAGTGAGAGCAAGAAAGGGGTATGAACAAATG